CGCTGTACTGGGGGTGGCGGACGCTTGCGGGCACCCCCGCTGGGGCCGTCGGTGGTGTTTCCTATGAGGCCACGAAGCGCTGTACTGGGTGTGGCGGGCGCATGTGGGCATCCCTATGTGGTTACGAAACGCTGTATTGGGTGTGGCGGACGCATGCGGGCACCCCCACTAGGGCCTTGGGTGGTGTTGGTGCTCCCCTTATGCAGCCACGAAGCGCTGTACTGATTGTGGCGGACGCATGCGGGCACCCCCACTGCGGGGTTCGGTGGAGTTCCTGATGGGGCCACGGAACATGGTACTAGGTATGGCGGACGCATGTGGGCACCCCCAGTTGGGCCTTCGGTGGAGCTCCCTATGTGGATACGAAGCGCTGTATTGGGTGTGGTGGACGCATGCGGGCCCCCCCACTGGGGCCGTCGGTGGAGCTCCCTATGGAGCCACGAAGCGCTGTACTGGGGGTGGCGGACGCTTGCGGGCACCCCCATTGGGGCCGTCGGTGGTGTTTCCTATGAGGCCACGAAGCGCTGTACTGGGTGTGGCGGGCGCATGCGGGCATCCCTATGGGGCCGCGAAGCGCTGTATTGGGTGTGGCGGACGCATGCGGGCACCCCCACTGGGGCCTTCGGTGGAGCTTCCTTTATTGGGCCACGAAACGCTGTATTGGGTGTGCCAAGGTGAGGTCGGGGACGGGGGGGGGAGGGATGGGAGGAGGGGGCAGCGGGAGGAGGAGGTCGAGAAGTTAACGCGGGGACCGTCTCTTCAAAACGAGGATCCAACACCACAAGATGGTTGGGAAAATCAGGCTTCATGGACGAGACCACGGGATGAAAGGGCAAATCGTCGCCCGCGTTGCTTCCATCGCGGTCCTTCTTCTTCTTCTTCCAACCCATCCCCGTTGTGGCATCTGCGTTCGCTCTCTCGCCGCGTCCACCTCTTCTCCCATCTCCGCCCACTATCGTTATTTCTTCTTCCCCCCCTGCGTTTTGCGTAGGCTTTTGTTGCCATGACCCTTCTTCAACCGGATTCTCGTCCTCTGCTTTCGCCCGTCGACCGTAGTCAACCCTGGTCTCTCGTCCAGCGCCCCTCCGCGGTCTGCCCCGCCCTCCTCCCGACCAAGATGCTCCCGCGCCCCTCCGCCCTCCCTCGCTGCGATCCATTGTTTCGCGGGCCTGGGGATCCTGGTCTCGTGGTCCGTCGAAGGCGATCCTGAAGAATTCGTGGAGCTTGGAGGGCCGCATCTTGGGGTCACGTCGGCGTCGTGCTGACGTGACAGTTGAAGCCATTGAGGCCATCAGTGGCTGAATGTATCAGGATATATCCACACAGGCCGGCTCAAATGCTGTCAGCGAAGGACAAGCATCCGATCCCCTATGACTCAGCGTTCGGTGCACATGGGAAGTCTGATTGGATACACAAGGTCAAACCAATCTTGCCGCACCAATGTCAACGGTTGGACGAGAAGTGGTGGCCACCCGCTGCTGATGGACATATCCTGCCTGCTGGCTCAAAAGGGCCCTCCGTATAGGGGAGCACACATTGGGAGCATTTGCCTTGTTTTAGGCGCCCGCTCGCCCATAGCAGGTCCCATAAGTCCTCCTCCTCCTGCCTCCTTGCTCGCCCTCAAAAGCTGCACTGCTTGTTGCAGCTTGTTCTAGCGCCCTCCCTCTCCCTCTCTTCCCCTTCATACGAACACATCTGGATGAACATCGGCTTCCGGATGTCCGCGCGGATTTCTTGCTTCAGCGCTGGGCAGCACACCCATGGAGCGCGAAGCGCGACAGGGGCTGCGCTGGAGGCGCAGCCAGGCGGGCCTAGTGCCAATTCAAAAAGTCCGCGCAGACGTCCGAATGTTCACGTTTGTTCTAGTGGCTTACGCCATTCCGCCGACCCTCAGATGGAGCGAGAGCTTGCGAACTCGTCACCGTGCGGGGACTGGCTCAGAAGTTGCTTGGGAAGGTCCCTTGCTTACAAGTATTCGATGACGACGACGATAACGACGACGATGACGACGACGACGACGACGTCGACGACGTCGTCGTCGTCATCGTGGGCGCCAGCCGAAACGTTGACTGCGCGGGGATCACGGAGCCGATGCCGTGGTTGGCGCTTCGTGGGGGGTGGCGCGCCGGTCTGTGGCCAGGTCTGGGGTCCGGGAGGGGCCTGGAAGCCTCGGGTTCCCCGCCCTCCGACCCCGACCTTGAGAGCAGGGCTGACGTCGATCTGGTTGACCCTCAAGGGGGTCCAGCTACAAGGGGGTGGTGCAATAGATCTGGTGCAATAGATTTTTGGGTTGCAGTAGATTAGGGGCGTGCAATACATGCCGAGGCGCAAATGTATTGCTGGACTTTCGCGTGCAATACAGTAGTTGCAATACATTGCAAGACAATTCGACGGCGCAATACATTTGCAATACAATTGCCCCAAATCTATTGCACCACTCCCTTTCAGCTGGACCCCCTTCTTGGTCACCCAAAGTCGAGAAGTGATGCTCGCCTGTTTTCGGCGGTAAAGCGCGTGCTGTCGGCGCGCCTGGTGGCAGCGGCAGCGCAGGTAGCAGAACTCGCCCGGCGTGTTAGCGGCGGGTCCGTCCCCTTGGCATCAGCTGCCGGAGCGTTCGAGGGAAAGGTGGACTCCTCCCTTCGTTTTTGACGTTGGTTCTACGCGGTGGCAGCCAGTGCCTGCCAGGCGCTCGATGACATATATGTGTCATGGGCGAGGGCGCTGCTCGGCAGCCCCTCCTGGCGTCCTGCCTCTCCTGCCTGCGCGGAGCTAGGCTGGGTGCTCTCCGGCTCGGGCAGGGCAGTGCTTGACGTAGCATCCCGACGTTCAGCGCGGTGGCTCCTCCCCGACGAAGATCTGTACAGCATAGTCTTCGTCAGAAGACAGGTTAGGTTGCCGTAGGCAATAGTTACGTGGGCAAGGTCCTTCTTGGCTCTTCTCGATTCCTGGGGTCTGCCAGACTGGCCGGGGTGGTGCGCGTCGGCAGGAGCGGGCACCCGGGTGCAGTGCAAGGAGTGCGTCCGGTCGCTGGCGGAGGCTCACTGTCGCAGGAGGCTTCAACAGAGCCTGCACGAATACGTGCGGCCTTTCGCAAAGGCGCACGTGGGCTCCGTCCCGCGGAGGGACCTCGGCAGAGCCATGGAGATGTCGTTGCCATGGGAAGACTTACGGGGCCAACGTCCTCTGTCACGGCTTCGGTGCCGCCTCATCCTGCTCACTCACACGCAGGGGCGCCACTCGTTTTTTCCATCATCCTCTGCCAGCGTGCCGTCCACAGCCCGACCTTCACGTCTTAGGCGCCTGCGGGGTCACTCGACAGTTGTGCGCTGGCTTCTGGCAGGCCCGAGGGAGACCGCAACCCGAATCTAGAGACGACTGCGCCCGCGTCCTGCTGAGTACGTTGCCAGGGGATGCAGGCTTCTCCGAGGCAGCGTCGCTAGGAGATTTCCTGGAGCAAGAGGCGACCCTCTTCTGGAACAACTCTTCCCTCTCCGGGTCTGTTCCTCTTTCCCTCCATCCGGTTAGCCTCGGACCTACGTCGTACGCTGGCGTAGGATGGAGTCGAGACTGGGCGAGGATCCCTGCCGACGGGCCGCTGATACCCCCTCCCCAGGAAGACCCAAATCTAGCGTTTGCCTTCCGGCTTTGGGCGTGGCACCTCCCCGGAGGGAGCCTGTGAGATAAGAGAGGTTTGGGCACGGTGGCACGCAAGTCCTCGTGCCCTCTCCCTCTCTCCCAGGGCTGCTTCCCAAAGGTGGTCTCATCCATCCCTGGGCTGACGTTGCGGGGTTGCTGTCCGTCGCCAGCTTGGGCCCCGCAGCTCTCCACTAGAGCGGCTGAGCCCGCAGTCCCAAAATGCCACCTCGTTTGGAGGTAACCAACACACCAACCAACCCCTCCTCCTCCTCCTCCTCCTCCTCCTCCTCCTCCCTCCTCCTCCTCCTCCCCTCCTCCTCTCCTCCTCCTCCTCCTCCTCCTCCCTCCTCCTCCCCCTCCTCCCCGTCCTCCTCGTCCCCCTCCTCCTCCTCCTCCTCCTCCTCCTCCTCCTCCCCCTCTCTTTCCTCCTCTCCTCCTCCTCCACCTCTTCCTCCTCCTCGTCCCCCTCCTCCACTCCTCCTCCTCCTCCTCCTCGCTCCTCCTCCTCCTCCTCTCCTCCTCCCTCCCCTCCTCCCTCCCCCTCCGCCTCCTCCTTCTCCTCCTCTTCCTCCTCCTCCTTTCCTTCCTCTTCTCCTCCCCCTCATCCTCCACCTTTTCCTTTTCTCCTCCTCCCTCTCCTCCTCTCTCCTCCTCCTCCTCCTCCTCCTCCTCCTCCTCCTCCTCCTCCTCCTCCCTCCCCCTCCTCCTCTCCTCCTTCCCCCCCTCCTTTTCCTCCTCATGTGAGATTCGATGGCGAGGAAAACCTGCAGCATCGCGACAAATCACGACCGGGGCCCTGGACCCTCCGTCTTCCTGCTGCATTCGTTTAGAGCCGCATCGATGCGTGATGGTCCGAGGGCAGGAAGCCTGGCGCACAAGCCCGGCGCGAAAAAGGCGCAGTGCCCGGGTCTCAGGGCAGATCCTCCCGCCGGTTTTTTCCCCTTGCATGACTAGACATAAGGGCGACCTTTCGCCGGTGTGCCTTTTTGATACCGGCTCCTCGGGGCACCCCCGATCGCTGAGCGCGATGCGGTAGCGGCTGCTTGCGCACCTGGATTTGGCCAGGCACTTCTTGCCTAGGGTCACTCTCCCAGACATGCGACGTCTTGCTTTGTTTTCAGTACGGCGCCCCCAGAAGTCCAGACCCTATCCCCTGGGCCGGCTTTTCATCGTCAGCCGTTCTTTGACGGCCCCGGGGCCCGGCGAGGGGCCCCCCGGGGGCCAGAGAGAAAGAGAAACCTGCCGTCCTGATCCTCTTGCGGCGCTACCATGTCTGGGCTCGCGTGTGGCCGCTTGCGCGCCCCCCCGCCAGCGCCTGCGCGGGCGCGCGGCAGTGGCGGCAAGCCCTCTGCCTGGCGGCCGACATGGCGGCCGCGGGCGCGCAGCCAGACGCGGTGGTGTGCAGCGCCGCGGACTCGGACCTGCGGCCTCGGGGAGGGCAGACGTCGACTGCCCTGGGGCCCTGGCGTTTTCGCCTTCTCTCGGACCCCACGTCCATCGAGCCCGGGAAGTGACGCAGAAGGATTGGGCCTGGGGCTTCGGGCGTGTTTTGCTACGGTGCTGCAGTTCTTGTTCGCTACGCCGGCCCCTCCGGGAAGAACGTCGACTGCACGTGATCGGAAGAAGAAGAAACCCATATGCAAAAATGTTTGGCGCTCCGGGCGGATTTCTTGGATATGCGCTGGGCTCCCCCGGCGGCGCCTCCGGCGCCGCCCCTGGCGCGCTCTGCGAACCAGGGAGGGGGGTCCAGCGCAGATCCAAGAACTCCGCGCGGACCGTCGAAAGTTTATGTTTATGCCGTTCGTTTGCTTCTACGTAGGAGTGGCCATTCGCCAGAGTGACCTTTGATGCGGGCTCACTGGGGCCGCCCTGATTGTTGAGCGCGATCCGATAGTGGTTGCTTGCGCGCTTGGACTTGGCCACCTCGCGCCCCCGTCATCCGCGCACTACAGGTCACTCTGGCCCAGGGTCACTCTTGCGTCTAGCCTCAAATCGGGCATGTCCCTTTAGACGAGGAATACTAAACAGTAGTCACACATGATATGGGAACGATTTTCGATTATTTCCGGACTGTTTTAAGTATTGTTTAGCTTATTTCTTATATTTCTTCCAAAATCCGCCTGTAGAAGGACATGCCCGACCTGAGTTTAGCCGAAGGTGGGAGAAGAGGGAGAAGAGAGGCACAGCCGAAGAGTTGAGCGGAACAGCAGGAAGGAGAGAGACCGGGGAAGGATCGGGCACGCGCAGAAGGGGGTAGGGGAGGGGGAGGAAGCTTCTTAGAAGCACCCCTGCTTCTTAGAAGGCGCGGGCCTTGTCTGTAGACTCAGGCCCGCGCCTTCTAAGAAGAAGCCTCCTTCTAAGAAGCTTTCACCCCCTCCCCCCTGCCGCCTCTGCGCGCCGCCAAAAGGAGCGCGAGCGACCTCTTTCCCTCCGCCTCTCCGCCGCCCGCGTGGCGCCATCTCGGCCTTCAGGCGCTGCTGGCATCAGCGGAGAGCACGCGCCGGTGAGGATCCGTATGGTGCCCTGGGACCATATGGCATCCCTACAGGGCTCGTTTCGATTCTTCCGATTCTAGCCGATTCGATTTCGATGGATTCCGATTCCGATTCGACTCGATTTCAGACTCCGATTTGGATCCCGATTTCTCAATGAATACGTTGCCGATTTCAGTCGATTTGACTTCTCCCGACTTGGTTGCCGATTTCCTCCGATCCGATTAATTTCGACCGCCGATCCGACTTATCGATTCGATTCTGGGCTCTCCTGTCCCTGAGATCGGGAGCCTTCATCCGGAAGTAGGAGAGGGGTGAGGTTTGAAGGGGTGTGGCGCCAATGCTGACTCTGGCGCTTTTATCAATCGTAAATTGCATCGAAATTTCAACGGTCGGCACCAGACCCCCCTTTATGCCACACCGATGTCCGATCTCCACTGAGACGGGGGTCGATGCAAACGGGGATCAGCCAGAGCGGCGGATCTTGCAGGATCCTGCAGGGTCAGGCAAGGTTGCACTGGGGCTCTCGCGCAGGATTTCCTGCAGGATCTTGGAGAGTCCAGCACAGCCCGACTTACCCAGGTTTGGATTGACCCGCGTCAGCAGATCCGGATGAGATTTGGGCGCTGCAGTTTTTGTCACATTGGGCTGTGTCGCTTGGTTTCGGACCCCGAGACCATCACAGACTGATGCTGTTCGAAGAATGCAGAAAGGGAACATGGGGTCTAGAGGGCCCCGTCGGGGAGGACTGGTGGTTTTTGTTGGCCGTTCCTCAAGAGGTAGGTCGGGGAGCCTTTTCGTGGCCGAGGCCCGCCATTGCCGGCCAGAGAAAGCCAGCCTCGTCGTGTTCCTTGTGTGGCGTGCCTGCTGGTAGCCTTAGCCTTACCTCGGTCATGTCCCTCTATAGGAGGAGTTTTTCAAACATAAGTCACACATAGTCTGGGTACGATGTTCTATTATTGTAGATTCGTTTGGACATTGCTTGTTTTTTCTTTGCCCTCCAGAATCCGCCTGTAGGAGGACATGTCCGACTTGCTGGTAGTCTGATTTAAAAGTTCACGAATGGAAAACAGCACAGCCAGGACGGCGGGTGCATTTTGAGCGGCTGATGGTCGGAAGGGCGGGGATCAACGATTGCAGATCGACAGCGGTACCCGTCCCTCCCTGTCACCTTTGGGGTCCGCTGGAGGGGGGCCTTGTCGCCACGGTCAGAGTCGCATCGACGGCCTGGTCAGATCGCGCCCCGGGGGCAGGCTCGGGGCGCACCGCGATTATTGAGGGCATTTGTTTGAGCTTCCCCACGGCATGCGACGTCACATCTGTCTCGTCGCGTGGCCCCCTGTGCTGCCGATCCCTAGCCCACCCCTTATCCGAAGCGTTTCTTGAAGGCCCTTGGCATCGAAATGTGCCGTCACGATTTCTTGTTGACGCCGCGGTCCGCAAGTTGGCTGGCGAAAGGTCAAGAGCGATATTTTGCGCGTGGATCGCCCGCCTTGTGAACATAATGTTTGTCGATGTCTTGTTTGCCCCGGGGGTCCTTGAGATTCTGAGGTCGGGTTCCTCAAGTCGAGTGCCAGCAGGCAGAGCTCCTGACACGAGGTTCGCAGCGGCCACGCACAAACAGTCGTGCCAGGAACCAAAAAGACGTATCGACTGCCGCGTTTCCCGGGATGGTCGAGCATCGAGCGCGGATTTATGAATGCGAGGGCAAGGATGGGAGGGTCAGCACAGAAGCGCTATGTTCATTTGCACTTTGCGCTGTCGGTGGGGACAAGCATCTGGCCCCGAACCCTTGTTTGGGCCGCGCATGGCTTGTTGTAGTCAGATGTACGAAGATCAGAAAGCCTACGCTTGACGTGCCAGTCCATAGTCTTTGTGTCCAGAGTTTAACATTCGACGGTACGGCATCTCGATTGAGGGCGGGCAGCGTTCGCAATGTGTGCGGCTCTATAGACTCGCAAAGAAGGGTGGGAGCCCTGCTGGGGCCTCCCAGGGGCATTCTCGGGCCAGCCCACGGCCACGTGGAAGCTCCAGGCGCACATCGTGAGTCGAACAGCCGAACGAAGCGAACGTGCAAGAATAACGAGAGATGAAGTATCCGCAGCCATGGTGGCTCGAGCAGTGTTTGCCCAAATCCCCGCTTGCTGGCGTCCCAGCCAGCCCATCTTGGCAAGATGATGACCGGTCTTGTTTGCCAGCTCTTCTTCTTGAGTCTTGGGCCTTGCGCATCAAGCCACGGATTAGGCAGAGCTTCGTGTACCTCAAACGCAGAGGGCTCTGCTTCAGACGCCATATCCTCCGTTCCCCGAGTCCTCGGAACACGACCCAGCAGCAGTGGGTATGGTCATACCCTGTCGGCGCAATCAGTTCCCCCCCCGCTGCCCCACCGAGGCCCTCATCACCGCCTGTTGCGGCGGCCGGCAGTGGGCCAGGGCGCTGTCTGTGCTGGCCGAGGTGGACGGAGGAGGCGGCACGGGAGAGGGGGCCCGTCTGGAGGCGGAGGGGGGTGACGGTGGGTGGACAAAAAGTGTCCACACCCATGGCGCCAACATGATATGACATCGCACTGCGTCGAAGCCCCCGCCCCCCCAACCCAAAGTTGACGGGGTTGGGTGCGAGGCAGCGCGCGGGGGGGACAACATGTGGACACTTCAACTTTGGGTTTGGGGGTGCGGGGGGCGAGCCACGTGTACATGGCAATTGTCGTTGCCAGCATGCCTGATTATCTCCGCCCCGTCGGCGTGGACGCTTTCTGTCCGGGTACCGGAGGTCCACGCCGCCCAGGGGCTTGGCATCGCGCGGGCGTGTGCGTGTGTTTTGTCGGCGAGGACCACCGGGGAGCATCCTGGGTCGTCCTGCGGACAGCACGCGCGCGAGATCGAACAATGCAGGGGGACGGACGTCCGAGCGATGGCGAAGGGGTGGGCCGAGCGGATGGGGCCGCAGGGATCGAGCCGCATGCAGCGACGTGCGGCGCGATCTGGAGCTTGGCGTCGCCCGTGCATCGGCGAGGCGGCGCGATCCTCCGACCCGCATCCGCCCCTGCCCAACATGCGCGGCATCCACGGCGGGAGGGGGAGGGAAGGAGGGAAGGGTGGGAGGGGGGGGTGAGGGAGGGAGGGGGGGGGGGGGAGGAGGGAGGGAGGGGAAGGGAGGGGAGGGAGGGGAGGGGTGGGAGGGGAAAGGGGGAGGGTGGGAGGGAGGGAGGGACGGGAGGGAGGGGAAGGAGTGGAGGAAGGCAGGGAGGGGGGGGGGGAGGGAGGGCGGGAGGGGAAGGAGGAGGGGGGGAGCATGGAGCATGGATTGGCCTGGGTCCTGAGACCCAGGCCCTCGGAGCACAGAGCGGTGAGACGCAGGCAGGTCACGGTGCCGTGCGCAGCGAAGCGGGCCATGCGGCGCACGCGGGTCGCGCCACTTGCGCCGCAGAATCGCCGGGGCGCCCAGCGCTGGTCGGGCGGCCGTGATCCGATGTTGTCGCGGTGGCTGCCCCGATGGTATAGGATGGTACACTGATGCATTGCATCGTGGGATGGATCGACAGATAGGGCGTTCCAAACAGGGGCTCGCCTTCGAGGGCGGCGGCTCCGCCGGCGGAAGCCAGCGGAAGGCTGGCGGAAGCCGGCGGAGGTAACAACGTGCGCCCCCAAGAGACGGCTGTTTGTTTGAGTTCAGGGTTTCCGCAGCCCGCCAGGGAGAGGGCGAGGCCGGTCGATAGATCGCTAAATATGTAGCATCCCGCGAGTGCGGATAAGATTGGGGGGGCGGTCGCGCGGTGGGTCGCGGGTGGGTCGCGGGTGGCTCGAAGGGGGGATAACGACAACAACAGCAGCATCAGCAGCAGCAACAACAGCAGCAACAACAACAACAAACAATAGCAGCAATAACACCAACAACACCACAATAACAATAGTGGCACTCAGAATTTTAAAACTAATAATGATACCACCAATAACAGCTGCAGTAACAAACACCAAACAACCAAACAAGTAGACATCGTGCCACATAACCCTACTTCACCCACCCAGCCGTGGATTGCGTAAGCCATACGACCCTTCGGTCCTATTCACTCTGGTGCTGGTGATGAGATCGACAGGTAGTTGGTAAGATCGATCGATGGATGTTGGGCTCGGTAGACGGACAGTGATTTCGAAATCTAGATACGTAGCACCTGGCATTTGCGGATAAGAGTGAGGGGGCGGCGGGGATGTCGGCAGTCTGCGAGGCTTTGAAGAAGCCCGCCGCAGGCGCAAACATTTTCAAGCTATATAACGAGCCCGCCGCAGGCGCCGATTTTTTTGTTTAAGTCAATGTAGGTGGGTCGCGGGTTGGGTCGCAGGTGGGTCGCGGGTGGGTCGACGGTGGGTCGCGGGTGGGTCGCGGGCCGGGTCACGGGTGGGTCGCGGGTGGGTCGAGGGTGGGTCGCGGGCGGGTTGCGGGTGGGTCGTGAGCGGGTCGCGGGGTGGATCGCGGGTGGGTCGCGGGTGGGTCGCGGGGTGGGTCGCGGGGTGGGTCGCGAGGTGGGTCGCAGGTGGGTCGTGGACCGGGTCGTTGGGGGGACGACGACAACAACAACAAGCAGAATCTTCACCACGGATTCGCACTTCAGCCACGCACCCAGGGACAATGAATGACCGTTCGGCCCCTTCACTCTGACGGTCGGCATTTTGTGGTTAGCGTTTTGCTCCGGCGGTTCTGGCCCACCTCGCTTCGGCGCGACACGATACGGTGAGGGCATTGTATAAGGAACCATTGGATAAGGAACCCATGGCCTGGAAGCCGGCCAGGGTCTGAAGCCTCATGGGTACATTCCTTAACGAACGCCACCACCGTATCCAAGTCCCAGTCCCGAAGCGTCAATGTCACGAGCTGTTCCGAGCCTCCAGCCCCGCGGAGTGGAGCAACACTATCCGCTCGCAGTGCACAGCGTGTCATTGGGGCCGCAGCAGCGAAACGCGAAGCAGCAGTTCCCGACAGGGCCGTGAGATCGAACGGTCGACAGTCGCCGGGCGCCCACGACCGTGGCCTCCTCTGCGCCCTTTCTCGGTACGATCGAAATCGAAATGGGCCCTCCCTAAGGACCACGAAGCGCGTGAGGGCTCTGAAACAAGAGGGCTGGGATGGTGATCCTGATGATGATGGTTGTGGTGATGATGGTAATCGGTGGCTGTGTATGATGACGATGACGATGATGGCACGCGGAAGGCAGAGGCAAGAAGAGGAGCAAGCCGGAGAGAGGGGGTGCGAGGACCGGCAGTACAGAGGAGGCCCATGCTAGGAATCACCCTGCTTGCCTCCAGGGTGCCCTGGGTGTCTTGGGTTTCGATGGCTTTGCTGTGGAAAGCTCGACGTTCCCACACCAAAAAGTCAATGGGCATCCTGGAGTCTTAGGTCTGGGTTTCTTGTGGGAAGTTCCGTGTGGACTTGCCTCCACTGTAGCTCCTGTTCCTTTTGAACTGGTCTTGCTGTCGGTGTCCCTGCGGATGTTCTGCTCCTCTGAGGCAGGCGGCCGGCGGCCGGGTATGCAGGAGACCGGCCACCGTCGGTGGTGGACAGCATTTGTTGTGGGGTGTCGTGCCCATGCTGTCCCTACCCGACCCACGACGAGGAACACGACGACGATGCCAGCGACGCCGACAGCGACGACGACTACGATGCCAGCGACGCCGACGGCGACGATGCCAGCGACGCCGACGGCGACGATGCCAGCGACGCCGACGGTGACGACGCCGACGACGACGACGACGATGCCAGCGCAGCCAGCGACTCAAGCAGTGGCGAAGCATCCTTGCTTCCCTATAGGCCCATCAAATAATGTTCTAATAACATGTTGTGGCTTGTCCAAGATATCCTGGGAACATTGCTGGCTAATGATGTCTTGCTTCAGCACATCGGCTTTCTGTTCTCAGAGTACTGTTTGTAAGTTATTGAAATACTGCTACTTCTAAGAACCTTTTGTGGCCTGTCCAACGCGTCCTTGGAACATTTCTGGCGGAGGCTGTCTTGCTTCAGCACATCTGCTTTCTGTTCTCAGAGCACTGTTTTACCTAAGCTCTTAGACTGTTGTCGGTTCTGGGAACATTTGGGAGGGCTGGGACGGTCGGTCCCTGCTCGAAGCGACGGCGACGACGCCAGCCCCTGCCTCCCGTGCCCATATCGGACGCCCGAACTCTCTCGCTCTGCGCGCCGTGCCCGTGCCCGTGCCCGTGCCCCCCCCCCGCCGCCCGTGCTCCGCCACGCTCCGCCACGCCCCGACCCCTTCTCGGTGCGCCTGGGGGGCGACCTCGGCCGCGGGGGGGGGGGGTCCCCCGCCGTGGGGGGTGGCGGGGGGAAGCGCCAAGGCGGGGGGGGCACCAACTATACACCAACACCGATCCTGGCCCAGGATCACCTTGGGCCCATGATCGGTGTATATGCCTTCTTGCCCAAGGCAGGAGGGCGTATACACCGATCCTGGGCACAGGGTGATCCTGGCCAGGATCGGTGTTGGTGTATAGTTGGTGCCTTCCTAAGGCGGGGGGGGGGCAGCTCAGTATCATTTGCAAGTCAGGTCGCGGAGACAAGGTGAGCCGTTGGGGTTCGGAACGGGCTCGAGGCTCCTTGGGTCCTTCCATGGCTGTTCCTCTAGCCCCCCTCGGGCACGCAGGCGCTTCTGGTGCCAAACCGGGACTTCGTTCCTTACTCAGGGTTCCTTGTTTCAGCGGCCTGACTGTATCAAGGGGGGGCAAATCACCTCGACCCCGACAATTGGCGCTTACTGACCAGCCCTGGGCGTTGACGAATCAGCCCTTCCCTGATGCGTTCGCTAAATTAAATTGCTTCGCTTGTCGGGGCGCTCATTATAGGGGTGGATTTTCCGCTCTCTAATTTGATCGACTCCCAGCCCCATCCCCATCCAATCCAATCCCCCGCCATCTCAGCACCCCGGCTTGGGATAGCCCTTTCAGAACCCGAAGGAAACGGCTTTTTTGCCTATCTAGGGGGGTAAATCGGCCAGTGGGGCCCAGGCCACGCTCATGGGGATAGGGGTCGGTTAAACAATGGTCAGCAGCGCCGGGGCTCGTCGGCGACATCCGAGTCCTACACTCGCCGTTCAATGATTCAGGCAACACGATGGGCGGCGGGGTAGGGGTCGGAGCTCATCGAACACGTGGCGAAATCCGAACTTTGTCCCAACTCCCATCGGTTCAGGAGGACTGACGGTTGGTGGGGGTAGGGTTCCGATGTCGCAACCACGGGGCCCACATCTCAGGGTCCATTCCGCTCCAACCGATCCGATTCGATGTCGTCTCCGGCCAGTTCGATGCAACCCGCTTCCGACTATCCGATGCGGTCCGATGCGTGCACGGCGCTGCTGTGCGTCCCGAGGCGGCAGCGGACCCGACTCGGTTTCGACTCCATGCCGATGCGGCCCGATCCGACGCGCACTCCGATTCGATCCGATCTCCCGATCTGGTGCTAACTGGTCCTGCCCCGCCGCGGGACCACCGGCACTCCGAGGAGAGGCGCGCTCCAGCGAGGTCGCCGTCGGCGTCGTCGCCCGTGGGCCCCCGCGTGGCCTTGTGGAAGTCGATCAGTGGAGAGGAAGCGTGCCGCCAAATGATGTCCAGATGCCTAAGAGATGTTTCAGACATGTCTTTGAACACGTCTGCTACATCTTTAGAATCCAATGTTTCAAGCATGTCTTAAACGTGCCTAGAAGATGCTTCAAGCATGTCTTGAACGTGCCTGACACATCTTTCATTCAACGTTCGCATTCCTGGAGTGCCCACTGCCATGGCATCCGCGAGCGTGGCCGCCACGGTGATGCCGCCTCCCGGGCCGCCCCCGCAGACCCCCGCCAGGGGCCGAGCGCGCCGCCCCCGTGGGGGGCCACGGCGCGCTCCGGGAACACGCCCTGGCCCTCGGGGACCGCAGGAGCCTGGCGCCTGCCTCGGCGGTCGTTGGAGCGATCCCTGTGCAAATCCCTCCGTAATCGAAATCCCTTCGTTCGGCGGTCGTTTAAGCGATCCCTGCGCAAATCCCTTCGTTCGGCGGTCGAAATCCCTCCATCATCGGTCCCCCCCGAAAAGCCGGACCCCCCCCCTTTCAACGGCAACCTGATTTTCCGGAGCCTCAACATTCTGAACCCCCCTCGTCTACGGTTTAGAGAAGCCGCCCGAGTGAACCGGACACCCCCGCTTCCAGAAAAAAGACACCTTAAAAAACCGGATCCAGGGGACGATTATTAGGGGATTTCGAGTACCACCAGCCCCATCCCAAGCCCCACCATTGTATCTAGGCCTCCTAGATGGGGTCGGAGTAGATGGGGTCGGAGGATCGCGCCGCATCGCCGATGCATCGCCGATGCGGCTAGATGTGGAGCCCGATTTGCTTCACGTCGACCTCGCCGACGCATCGCCCACGTCGCAGATGCATCGCCGGTGCATCGCCGATGCGTCGCCGATGCATCGCCGATGTATCGCCGATGCGGCGCGATCCACCGACCCTATCTACTCCGACCACATCTAGGAGACCTCGATTGTACCGCCCCAGTGAAGGATGTACCCCTCGGAAATCAGCATCTTTTCACCGATCCCTGCCCCAATCCCCACCCCAAGCCCCACCACTGTGCCACCCAAGTTGGGGATAGACCCCTTGAAGCCCAAAGGGGAGCAGCCTAGGTCCGCATCTATATGGGAGGTGAATCGGCCAGGCCACGCTCACGGGGATGGGGGTCGGGTATACGATGCTCGGGAAGGCGGCGGAAGGGCGGCGGAAGCCCGCGGAAGTACAGCCGGGGCGCCGAAGAAGGAGCCCCTTTCATTGGGGAGGGGCTCGGCGTCCCGTGATTGTTTTACAGTTTGCCTTAGGTTTTCCTTCGGCTTTCGATGGGGAATCGAAGTTTGAATTATGGGAAACTGGGGCCTCGTTCCTGATTTATCGTTCCTCAGGCCAACTCCCCGACTGTAGATCAAGGCCGCCTCCGCCGGCGGAAGCCCGCGGAAGGCTGGCGGAAGGCGACGGAAATAATTCACAGATGCAACCCTAAGAGATGAGAAGGATCTGGGCACCAGGATGTTCGGAATCGGACGTCTGTCCGCGAACAGTTCCCAGACATGCTCGCGTCGTGGAGCGATCGCGACGCAGTGCTTTCGGCCCGCCTCGGGCTCGAGGCCCCTCGCAGGGCCCCGGGGGCGAGAGACGAGGATGGAAAGCGGGTCCTGGGGGAAGGGGTCGGGATTTCCGGGGATCTCGCAGTGGAGAAAAGCCGGCGTCACCCATGCATCGCCGATGCATCGGCGACGCATCGGTGATGCGTGCTGCGTTGCTCAGGAGGAAAAGAAACACACAGACACAATTAATCCTCGATTCCCCCGAAAATATGGGAAAATATGGGAAGTGTGGGGGAAGACAGAAACCCAGAAAATATGGGAAAATATGGGGAATCTTTTTATTTGTGTGTATTTATTTGTGTGTCCTGGGGCCCCTTCAGTTGCGATCTGTCGACCCCGTCCACAGTCCAGGCGCCGAGGTCGAGACCGCTTGGCGCTCCGGAGGGGCTCGCGCGGTCGAGCTCGAGCCGCCCCCTGAGCTCTCTGCGGCGAGGCCTCTGCGCGTGGCCGGGGCCCGCCGTGGCCAGAGAGGCTCCTCCTCCTCCTCCTCCTCCTCCTCCTCCTCCTCCTCCTCCTCCTCCTCCTCCTCCTCCTCCTCCTCCTCCCCTTGTCGTCCCATACCGTGCACCCTGGATGGCAGCACGACGGCTGCGTGTGCTCTGGGCTTCCCTTGGTGAGCGTTTGGGGGGGGTACCCCCCGACGGGGGTTCAGCCTCGCCTCGTCGTCGCGCCGCGACGGGGGTCGGAGCGCCTTCGGCGCGCGGTGGCTGCCCGCGACGGGGGTCGATGTGGGGCTGTCGGCGAGGGTGACGCCCCCCCCCGACGCTCTTTAAGAGACTCGGAGTATGTAGTCGGACCCCACGTGGGCGGCTATGCAGGCGGGCCTCTGGACCTCCAGCGTAGCCGTGGACACCTCTGCCGAGCGAGGATCGCCCAGGGATTGGAACCCGAAGGAAAAAGCTGGAGTCACACCCCCAGTAGACACGTGCGCTGTTCTCCCCTCGTGGGCGTCTCACTCGCGCCTGTCCGCTCGCCGCGCGCGCCTCCTGGTCGGAGGCCTGGGCTACGGGCCGGTCTCCATGAAACGGGGCTTCTCGCGCGCCGCGCCTGCCCCAAAGGAGCGCTACGGGCGGAGAGTCGCCCTTACGACGCCCTCCCTCCTTCAGGGACGACGTTAGGGGGTTTCGAGCTGCGGGGCTTGAGCATTTCGGACGTTTCCGTGGGTCCTCGGCGGTTTCCCAACCTCGGGAAGCCTTCCAGCGGCTGCGCCTCGCCGAGAGCGTTGAGGGCTGCCGGGATCGCCCCGAACGGCCGCAAGAGACCCGAGTGATGACCCGAAAACCAACGATATGGGCGGATTGGTTCAGGGGGTCTACGCATCGATCCCCAAACGCCCGTTGATCGTCGACAGGGGCCCGACAGCCCACCCCGCATTTTTCGCTATCGAGGGCCTGCCGCCGGTCCATCGTCGATGTATCGCCAATTCCTGGTCGATGTTATCCCTCCCCCCCCCCCGAGCCTTCCCCCCCACCCCCCCGAGCCAGCCCCCCCTCGAGGCTGCTTCCCGCGCGGGCTCCGCCGCGCGGTGCCGGGCGCGAGCGCGAGCTGGTCTGAACGTGGAGCTGTGGCGAGGGGGGGAGAGAGGAGGGACGTCGTGAGCGAGGCTCGAGCAGTGGCGAGGCGTCCTGGCTCGCCTATAGGCCCACCAGAAAATGTTGTGAGAACCTTTTTTTTCTCTGTTTGTTTGCACGACATGGTCTGAGAACCGTTTCTGACTGAGACTGCCTTGTTTTTTGGCACGTCGGCTCCATGCTCTAAGAACATTGTTTTTGTGTTTGGAACATTTGGGGGTTCTGAGACCATCTCGTGGTAGCTCTATAGGGAACGCCAGGACGGTCGGTCCCTGCTCGAAGGATGGGAAACTCGGGGGTGGACAGAACCCCCAACAGTGACACGTCGATTAGTGAATTGTCCGTTTTCGGTTCTCGAGAGGGCGCCGTGGCCGTTATTTTCCAGGCCTGCGCCCGCCAGGTTTGGGCCTCAGGTCGTTTTCACTAAACCACGTTTTACTAAAGGGGGGTCTGTCCATCCCCGAAAAACGTCCTCAGGTGGAGAAGCCCGACATGATCGCCTTCAGCGCCGCCATCTCGGCATGCCAGGCCCTCGGCGCTGCCCCACGAGGATGTCTCTCGGGCTCTGTCGGGGCCACCAGTGTCACACGTCGAAGGCCCCATCGGGCCAGGCGGCGGGAGCGGGAGGAGGGCGAGACTGCAAGGGAAGAGGGGCCGTTGCCAGTGACTGCGCTGAAGCGGCTTGGGGTCAGCGCAGGGCCATGCAGTGGAGGCCCATGCCGAGAAACACCCTGCCTGCCTCCAGGGTGCCCTGGGTTTCTAGGGCTTCGGTGGCTTGTGGTTTGAAAGCCCACACCAAACATCAATGGGCGTCCTGGGGTCTCAGGGCTGGGTTTCTTGTGGAAGGCTTCTTGTGGTCGAGCTCCCAATGCATGTCGAAGGCCCCTCGGGCCAGGCGGCAGGATCGGGGAGACGTCAGACTCGAGTAAGCCGGAACTCGGGTTTTGCCGACGTACTGCGCTGAAGCGGCTTGGGGGTCAGTGCAGGGCCATTCGGCCACGCGCAGAGGGGGGGTGGGGGTGAGGGGGGAAGGCTGCTTCTCAGAAGCACCCTGCCTCTTAGAAGGCGCTGGCCTTGTCTGTGGATGTAAGGCCCGCGCCTTCTAAGAAGCAGCCTCCTTCTAAGAAGCCTTCCTCCCTAGTGATCGTTTTTGTTATTCATTGTTTTGCCGATCGGCGCGGGCCCGCGCACCCGCCCCCTCCCCCCCCCGTGGAGCAGATCTTGGCTATTTTTGGCGCCCGGTTCGAGCAGGCGGAGCCTCCCATACTGGACGCTCTGCTGCAAGCAGTCGCATTGAGCAGAGGTCCGGAGCTGGACCCCCCTCTCCACCCCCCCTTCCGCCCAATGTCGAGACGCCGAAGTGAAAAAGCGTTAACCCAAGAAGCTTTCCCCCCCCCCCCTTCTGTGCCCCCCCTGTGCGCGCCGCGGGGCCGTGCTGGAGCCAGCCTCGGGCGGCCGTGGGCTGTCTCTGGGCTGGAAGGGGGCTCGGCTCCTGGCTCTGCGGCGGGGCACTCGAGGCGCCGTGCCTGCGGGGCACCGCGGGAGGTGCGGAGGCGGGAGCCCGGAGCCAGGAGCGAGGGGAGAGGCCCAGAGGTCCAACGTATGGAAAAAACCGAGACGGAGGTTTGTCGCCAATTCCCGCCCCTAGGGGCTCTCGCTGGGCCCCGTGACCGTCAAGAAACGACTCAGGTCCTGGGGAATGGGTCGAGGGGATCCCGTATTAAAAAAATCACGACATCGGAGCTCTTGGGGGGGAGGAGAGGATGGGGTCGGAGGAAAGGAGGAGGTCGGAAAAGAAGGGCTTGCGAACATTGCGGCATGCAGCTGGAGTGCTCCCTCAAGGAGTCCCATGGGGATCTCGCAAGCAGCGTGATATTATAAGTTGTGGTTCGATTCAGCTGAGACCGCCGCGTTCGGGTCTGACCCGTCCCACGTGGACCCGTTGTGGTCTCGCCCGTCCTGTTGGAGTCTCACCTGACCCGTTAGGGTCTGACCCGATCGCGCAAGTCCGGTCCCAGGTAATATTGTTTCCAATGTTGAGTTCCATTGTCAGCACGTTCGCCTTCGCAAGAGGGTTGAAGCAGTTCAACGAAGCTTGGCCTCAGCGCCTCAGCGTTGTCACATGGATAGTGCTGACACAAGTGGTGAGTGTATGGTTTGCCGTCCGCCAGGCAGGTTCGGACGAGATCTTATGTTATGTCCGTCCTTCCCGTATCCTGCCTTATCCTATGTCCTCTGGTGCGCGTCTGTCTGACTGGCTCTTACATGATCTGCCGCCAGCCAGTCTGCACGTCTTTGGCGCCTCAATCTCCCCGGCTCGTCGGGCCCCCTTCAGCGAAAGTATTCGCTAGTCACTTCGAACACCAGGATGTACAGCTGAATGTTCAGTTTGGAAGCAACCTCCTCCCCAGGTCATCTTCGGAGGCTTCGAGGATCGCCCCAGTGCCCGTCAAGATGTCCCGTCGTGGCCCAAGAGGCTCGAAGATGACCCCAAGAGGACCTCCAGAGGCTACAAGATGGCCTCAAGCCCTTAGCGACCAAAGCAATAAAACACATACGGCATTCCCTTGTTTCCCCTCAACCCTCAAGTTTCGAGTACATGTGGCTCCAACTGGAACAGAATGGGAGCCAAAGAGCGTTCAAGATATCCCTAAGAAGGCCTAAGCCAAGAACTTGTCCCTTGATGGCCCAGTATGGTTGGACTGCCCTAAGAGAGCCCCAAGATGGTCAACGAGGGCCTCAGGAAAAGGCCCAAGACGGCGCAAGACGGCCCCGACATGCCCAAGCTGGACCCACGACAGTCTAAGACCGTCCAAGGGAGTTGTGGAAGTCGATCAATGGAGAGGAAGCATGCTGCCAAATAGTTTCCAGATGTCTAAAGCACGTTTCAAACATCCCTTAAACATGCAAGACAACATGTTTCAAACATTGTTAGAACATGTTTGAAACATGTTAAACACAAGGGTACCTTCAAGATGGGCCCAGGGTACCTTCAAGATGGCCCCGAAAAAGTCGAAAAGACGGCCCGATGAGGTCCCAACGCGGCTCCGCACGTCCCGGAAGCGACCCAAGGACAGAAGGCCCCAGCCTTCTCAGACGGACGAGGAGGAGGAGGAGGTAACGGGGGGACGGAAAGGTGCAGGAGGTCGAGGACGAAGAGGGGAGGGGGGAAAGGGGATGAGGGTGAGAGTGGGGAGAGGAGGAGGTGGAGGAGGAGAGGAGGAGAGGACGGGAAGAGGAGGAGGAGGAGGAGGAGAGTAGGGATGATGACGATAAGGATGATGTTGATGATGATTATTATCATGATGATGATGATGAAGATAATGATGATGATGGTAACGATGATGAGATGGCAGTGTTGAGTTTGATAATGATGATTGTGGTGATGATGTTGAGGATGTCGATGATGATGGTGATGATAATGTGGATGCTGATGATGGTGGTAGGAATCAATCAGTTGATGATGATGATGCTGATGATGATTATGATGATGATGATGCTCATGGCGATGATGCTGATGTTGATGATAATGATGATGGTAATGCTGATGATACTGATTATGATGGTGGTGATGGTAATGCTGATTATGGTGATCATAATGGTGATGGTGATTGTCATGCTGATGCTGACGCTTATTCGGTTATGATGGTGCTGATGATGCTGTTGAGATGGCTACTGGTAATGCTGGTGCAGATAGTAAAGATGATGCTGATGTTGATAATGCTGATGATGAGGACGACGACGATGCTGCTGATGTTGATGACGATGAGTAATCGGGTTATAATGTCAATGATGATGAGTATGCTGATGGAGACGGTGATGATGATGCTAATGATGATGACGATTATGATTATATGCTGCTGATATTGTTGATGATGCTGCTGCTGATGATGATGATGATGGTGATGGTGATGGTGATGGTGATGGTGATGGTGATGGTGGTGCTGGTGATGGGAATGGTGATGGTGATGGCGATAGTGACGATGCTGATGATGATTGTGGTGGTTAGGATGATGACGACGATGATGTTGATGATCTTGATGATACTGGTGAGGAGGAGGAGGAGGAGGTACAGGAATTGTTGGATCAAGCCGCGGGGCAGTTTAATCACGGATGCTGGACATCGGTCGGCGCTATTACCTTCGAAGTGCCGATCAAGAATTGCGATGGAACAAAACAGTGGAATGCAGCATTGCGGTTGCTCCGCAAATGAATTCGATTAGTTGCCCAAGTCGTTCAAAGCCACCACATAGCGACTGCCAGCGCATGCAGACAAGGCGGGCAATGACAACACGCGTTGCCAGTGCTCAGTGAGATGCGGGAGGCGAATGCAGAACCCCACGTCATCTATACCTACAATACCGGGCATTGCGCGTGCGAGAAGGGCCATTGTGGGCTCCCTCGCCGGGCCCTGGGGGGCGGCACCTCGGCGGCTCCGCTCGTGGGGACGGTTCACGAGGGCCTCCAGAGAGCCCACGGTGGCTTCCATGGAGCCCGGGAAGGGTGAGCAGAGGCAGCCCGCGCTCGTCTTGCTGAGCGAGATGCGGGAGGCGAGGCTAGAGCCCAACGTCATCTTCCACAGTGAAGACCCATGACAATAACACCCTGCTTGCCTCATGGGTGCCATGGGTTTCTTGGGTTTCGATGGTTCTGCTATGAAAAGCGTGCGGTTCCCACCCCAGTCTTGGAGTCTCAGGGTTGGGTTTCTTGTGGGAGGTTTCTTGTGGACTGGCCTCCGCTGCGTTACAATGCTCGAATCAGTGTGTGCGAGATTGCGTTGCAGTGGCAACGGGACAGGATGGCTCCCGGCGCTCCTGGAGCGGATCTTGGACGGCCCTGGGCGGCCGCCAGAAGGCTCCAAGACTTGAGGCGGGCATGTCCCTCTACAGGGGGAAAACGGTGGAGGCGCTGGGTAAGGAATGCGTCCGGGAGACTCCAGACCTTCGAGGATTCCTTATCTTTTGGGGGCGGTGGCGATACCACAATTGGAATGCCGCTGGCTTCCAGTTCCTGGATTCCTTATCCAAGGTTTCCTTAATGCTGTGACTATTGATGACCATTTTGGAGTATTGTTTGATAATTTGTCACTTCTCTTCCAAAATCCGCCTGTAGGAGGACATGCCCGACTTAACGGCGGAAGGCACCAGAGACCCCGAAGCGGCTCCAAGACACGCCAGAAGGCCTCCCACGACGGCCCAGGAAGACCGCGATGCTGGCCCCAGGAGGCCCACATCGGATATTTTCCCTAAAGGTTTTTCCAATGATTTGCAGTTCCTCCCCATTCCGCATCCAGAACGGCCCCCAGCGCCTCCTCCCACATCGCGTCGACACTGCCCTAGAGACTCCCAGGAGAGGCCTTCGATGGCCCAAAAGGCCCCCCCCCCCCCCCAGATGGCCTCAGAGCGCCCGAAGACTGTCACAAAGAGCCCCAAAATTTTCTCCGACAAGGCCCCAAGAGAGTCCCTTAAGAGCTTTTCCGAGTCCCGAGGACACCCCAGGACGGCCCCAAGGCGATTACACACCAAGCTTCCCAGGCGTCCCCCAGAGGAGGCTCTCAGCCAGGGAACGGTCCCGGAGGCGTCCAAAATACCGCAAGAGGCCTCCAAGACGCCCAAGACAGGCTCGCAGGATGACTCATCATGCCCCGGACAGGGCCCCAGAGATATCCGAGCAGTTCAATTTCGACGAGCTCTTCACCCATGGTGTGCGAGTCCCAGTTCAGCACATCGTGGACTCAATCCACGGGTTCGCACTAGTTGCCTACAATGCTGGGATCAGCGCTTGCGAGAAAGGTGGGCAGTGGCAGCACGCGCTGTCGTTACTCAGCGCACTGCCGAGAGCGAAGCTGGAGCCAAATGTGATCAGGTTTAACGTTGGGAACAGTGTTTGCGAGAAGTGTTGCAAGTGGGAGCATGCGCTTTCGCTGCTCAGCGAACTGCGTGATGCGAAGTTGGAGCCCGACGTCACCCTCATCGGCGTTGCCCCACCACCTGGTGGAGATGGTGATTCTGACTCCGCCCTGGTGGCGCCGAATGGTTTGGCTCGCTCTGGAACGCGGGTGGTCCGAGATCCGTTGAGTCGCTCCGAGCGGGCCCCAAACGGGTACTGCAAGACTCGTAAAACATACAGTCACGGTTTTCGTGATCTGTGCTTGCGTGGCCGGCGCTACTTCAATGCCGGCATGCGGCATTCGGCCCAGACGCAGGGGTGTCCGACATCAGGCAGTACCCTCACAGTATTGAAGAACGCGTTTTCTGACAAGTCTTCGAGCTATCGAGCGCTTCGATTCGGAACAGCGTTTCAATGCAGTTTTGACGAGGCCTGTAGGAGCCCCTGAAGACAGCCGAAGATGCTTACAAGAGGGCTCAAGATGTTCCACGTGGCGCGCCAAGCGCCCCAGAGGTATCAACAGGTACAACATGGCATTCAGTGTTAAGTCGGGCATGTCCCTCTACAGGAGAAAAATTCAAGAACAGTCAAAAAGTAGGTGCAGTTTTTTGTTTTTACCATTTGGACTATTTGGGAGTATGTTTTGCTTTGTTGTTATCTGTCTTCCGAAATTCGCCTGTAGGAGGACATGCCCGACCTAAATTTAGTGTCCAGTTGATTGCCGTTTCAAGGCTCAGGCCTAAGATGGCTTCAGGAGGGCTTCAGACGGCTTGTTTGGGCCCAGTGCGTTCCCGAGGGCTCTGAGGGCCAGCGGGGTCTGGGCGCCTTGGCCTTCGAACAGTGGCGACCCTCACAAGATGGCGCTCCACCCAACGGGCTCGAAGGCTCTGCCAGCTCTGTAGGCCAACTGTGGGCCGGGCGCTTTGGCATTCGAGACGCGGTGACCCTCACAGGAGTGGCGCTCCGCCTGGTGGGCTGGAGGCCTCTGTCGGCTCTGTGGGCCAGCTGTGGGCCGGGCGGCATGGCCTTCGATAAGTGGCGACTCTCACGAGGATGGCGATCCTTTTTTCGGGCCGGAGGGCTCTGCTGGCTCTGTGGGTCAGCTGTGGACTGGGCGCTTTGGCATCCGAGTGACGAACGAACAACACACATACCCATACGCATAGGGAGGATGTAGGAGGCTGTGGATGCGTGTTGTCGGAAAGGGGTCCCCGCCCGATCGGATTATTTACTAAAAAAGAAAATTGCAACAACATACCAACAATAAGATCAGTGACAGTAGCCACAGCAGGTTAACAGCCACATGAACAGCAACGACTACATGAGCAGCAGCCGCATCATGGCCACAACAACATAACAACCACGTGAACAGCAGCGACGACATCATCAGCAGCCGCATCATGAGCAGCCATGGCGACTTCAGCGGCAGCCGTATGAGCGGCAACCTCATCAGCAAGTAGCACGAGCAGCAACCGCAACAGCAAAGCCAGCAGAGGTCTCCGATCACCAATTCTTACTGCCAAGTGAGAGCCCCTCTTATGCTTAAACATGTGTGGGGAGCAACTCATCAGCAGGTGTGTCGTGTACGGCTGGTTCGTGTCATGTCGACGCGGCGGCGACCCCGCCGCGGGCGTTAGGTTGAACGCCAGCAGTGGTCCAGAATCGCCACAAATGGAACAATCCTGCGATCGAACTGCCGACAATCGTTCAACGTTGGACGATTCACGCGGTGTCAGAAAAGCCGTCGCGGCAGTCGTCACGACACGAACCCGCCGTACAGATTTGTTCGGCGCAAGCGCGCCCCGGCGGGCGCGCGCGCGCGCCACAGGCGGGCGAGCAGTGGGAGGGCGCGCTGGCGCTGCTGTGCCAGGCGCCGCTGGCTGGCGCCGCTCTGCACAGTCAATCCGCATGGTGAGGGTGTGCGACCTTTCCAAGGGCACCCTTGCATCCTTGCCTCCTCGGTCCATCCTTGGCCGCTTTCGTTGGCCGCGCCCCGCTCGAAAGCTTTGAAATGGGCGTCCAAGGCCCTTGCACCTGTCTCGCGCATCCTCATGAGCCGGTGCCGCTCTGCATCGCCAGGCACTCGCCGCGTCGCGAAGAAGATCACGACTGCGGCTTCTGCCGCCGTTCTCGGGCCCGTGAGGGCCCTCGCCAGGCCCCATGATAGGGGAACGAAAAATGACATGAGCATGCAAACTCGGATGTCCGCGCGGATTTCTCGGATCGGCGATGGAGCCCCCTGGCAGGGCCTATGGCGCCGCCCCTGGCGCGCTCCGCGCGCCAAGGAGGGGGGTCAACCGATCCGAGGATTCCTCGCGGACCTCCGAATCTGCATGGCGACCAGCAGAACGGCTCAGGACGGCGCGCCGGCCCCACGGAAGGCGCCCACAGGCTGCCAGGGCTCGGACGTCGGGGCTCCAGATCCCGCTCCGTGCCTCCCGCCCTGCGGCGGGTTTGGGCTGCGATGGTGCTGGCGCCCCTCGATGGGGGCCCTCGAGGGCGCCTCTTCGAGGGGCCTTCGAGGGCCTTCGAGGGCCTTCGAGGGGCCTTCGAGGTGCCTCTTCGAGGGGCCTTCGAGGGCCTTCGAGGGCCCTCGGGGACCTTCGGAGGCCATCCAGAGGCCTCGCGTTGGCTCCAGCGCGGTTCTGGCGGGTTCGTGCCGCGAGGACGTCGGCGTCGGGTTCCGGGCACGGCGTGCACGGTTCCAGCCCCGATCGGGGGCGGCCAAGAGTCAGGAGCGAGAGGAGGACGCACATGCACGTGAGTTCACGATGGTTTCGAGAGTACGCATTTCACCACCCACCAAACCACCCAAACCCAACCCGAAGGCCTTAATTTGCCCTCCATTTCCAGTGGGGGGGGTCGGGGGATATGGGAAAACACACACATATGGAACCCGTAATTACCCCCCCCCACCCGAAATTCAGATCTTCGGGTTGGGTTGGGGTAGTCTGGTAGGTAGTCAGCATTGCGCGAACCCTCGTATCACGCGGCTGGTCTCGAGGGGGTGATGACTGCGGAGGGGTCATCGTGGCCGGGGCCAGGATCTCTCCGCCAATCCATGACCCCCTTTGCTTTTTCCGACGCGCTTTTTTTGGTCCCCTGTGCCGCCCACGCACCTCGGGCGCCACGGCTGGCGAGAGCGCCCTCTTGGACGACCCCCTTTTCTGGCCCCCGACTTGAGCGATCGCGCCTTTCCGATAGTCGGCGGCGAGCGAGGGGGGAAGTGAGAAGGGGCGGCCCTTCTCAGAAGGCTCGGAAGTCCCCGGGGCCTTCTGAGAAGTTTTGTAAACCTTCCCCGAAGACAGAAACAAAAACCTATCAGAAGGCGCGAGGGCCTCTGAGAAGTCCCGCCGCCTTCTGAGAAGGCCTTCTCCTTCTCACTCCCCCCCCTCGCTCGCCGCCAACTTCCGATACAGTGGGGACCCATGCCAAGAAACACCCTGCTTGCTTCCAGGGGGCCCTGCGTTTCTTAGCTTTCGATGGTTTTGCGATGGAAGGCGTGGCGTTCCCGCACCATGGACGTCCTGGGGTCTCAGGGTTGGATTGGGTTTCTTGTGGAAGGTTTCTTGTGAACTGGACTCCACTGTAGTTTACATCATTCGGGATCGTTCAGATCTGTGCCACTGGCTGGCGGCGTTCAGCAGTGAGCGCTGCCTCGCTCTCAGCTCCCCCCTCGCCTGCGGTGGGTTCGCGCCGCGACGGCGCGGCGGCGACGCCAGGATCAAGGTTTTTAAGTCGGGCTTGTCCCTTGACAGGAGGAATATTCGAAAATAGTTCAGCGGCGACGAGAAGGGCGAATAGCCCAGAGGACTACACATATTCGCCTGGAAGTGTCGCCGAAGACACGGATCATCGGCACCTCTGGATACACGTTTTGTTCTCCCTTGTGTTGTTCGCCCTTATCGCCGCCTCTGAATAGTTCACAGCATTCGGGGTTCGTTCGGATTTGGGCCATTGGCGGCGTTCAGCAGCTCAGAAGGGGAACAAACACACAGACACAATTGATCGTCGGTTCCCAGGGAAATATCGGAAAAGATGGGAAGTGGAGGGGGGCAGACGCAAACCCTGAAAATATAGGAAAATACAGGGAATCTTGGGATCTGTGTGTATTTATTTGCGTGTCCCTGGGCCCCTTCATTAACTCCCCCGCTCCTGCAGTGGGTTCGCGCCGCGACGGCGCGTCGGCGACGCCAGGATCAAGGTGGTTCGAAAAGGTCGCGTTGCATTTCAGGTAGCCTCACGAAGTCGGGCGCGTCCCTCTACAGGAGGAATCTTAAAGAATAGGCAGAACAAGTAGTCTGGGGACGACTATGTGCATATGTTCGAATATGTTTTAGCTTGTTCTGTAAAAAAGTGTTCGTCCAACACCCACCTGTAGGGGGACACGCCCGACCTAAATCAGGGTGGTTCGAACAGGTTGCTCTGAATTTCCAGTACCCTTTTCACAGCGAAGCATTTCCTTGGCGAGGATGGAAATTTCGGAGAGGGTTGGGGACCATTTTGAGCGATGTTTTATCGCGCCGCCTCCAACGCGGCGGCGGCCCCAACGCGAACGTTCGAGGCTGAACGCCGTTAGTGGCCCGCAACCAACCGATATCGAACTATATGATTTATGCGTGCTCTCGGGAAGCCACGACTTTTGAACTATCCAGGCGGTGTCAGAAACCAACACCGAGACTGCGGCGTGAACCCGCCGTGTCATTTCCCATCCTTTCCCCGCCATTATTGTTTCCTGTTCATGCTCCGTCCTTCCTACCAGAACCTCCTGCTCGTCGCATTTTCCCCCCTTCAGCGCACCACGATCACACGGTAATTATTTCGGTGTGCCGCCACAGGTGTTCAGATCTTCGTTCGTTTGCGCAGTGTGTTGTTTTTCTCTGTACGCATTTCATTGAGTCTTGGCTTCTCCATCATACTTGATAGAAAAGAGAGGGAGAGAGAGAGAGAGAGAGAGAAAAAGATAGACAGAGCCAGCTAAACTATTTGCGCCCAATGGCGCAAAACACATTGCAAACACGAGCGCCTTATCTTGCGCCTCTGGAGACTTCTTGGGGTCCAAAAAAGGATGCACGTACTCGTACATCGTTAGAGTCCTCGATCCCCATCCTCGATTCTCCTCCTCCTCCTCCTCGTCCTCCTCCTCCGCGATAATATACCTCCTCCTCCCCTCCCTCCTCCCCCTCCTCCCCCTCTTCCTACTCCTTCTTCTCCTCCTCTTCCTCCTCCTCCTCCTCTTCCTCATCCTCCTCCTCCTCTTCTTCAGCATCAGCATCAGCATCATACCACCAGCATGGATCATTAGCATCAGCATCATCACCATCACCATCTCCATCATCATCGTCAGCATCATCATCATCATCATCATCATCATCAGCATCAGCATCAGCATCAGCATCAGCATCAGCATCAGCATGAGCATCATCATGCATCATCATATTCATCTTTTTCTTCATCATCACCCACATCACCATCATAATCATCATCGGCATCATCAGCACCATCACCATTATCATCACAATCACCATCATCAGAAACATCATCATCATTGTCATCGTCATCATCATGATCATCGTCATCATCAGCATCAGTATCATTTTCATCGTCTGGTCATAATCATCATCATAATCATCCGCATCATCATAATCATCCGCATCATCATCATCATCATCATCATCATCATCATAATTTTCATCATTTTCATCATAATCATCCGCATCATCATCATCATCATCAGCATCATCATCATCGTCAGCATCATCATCATCATCAGCAATCATCATCATCATCATCATCATCATCATCATCATCATCATCATCGTCGTCGTCGTCGTCGTCGTCGTCGTCGTTGTCACCAGTACCACCATCATCATCATCATCATCAGCAGCAGCAGCATCATCATCATCATCATCATCATCATCAGCATCATCATCATCATTCTCATCATCATGCGCATCCGCACCCGCACCCGCACCCGCACCCGCATCCGCATCTGCATCCGCATCTGCATCCGCGTCCGCATACGCATCCGCATCGTCCTCCTCGGGTCTCCGACGTAGTCATTTCGTCGCAGCGTCGACCCCTGACGGGTCTGGGTCGCTTCCCCCGGGGCCAGTGCCTCGGCCCGTGCCGTTTCTGGCCGGCCCTTCGGGCCCAGCGAGGGCGGCCGGGTGCGGCGAGAGCAAACGTAGGAGCGTCGTGGTGCTTTCACGGCGCGAGGGGTGCGTGGGGCCCTCCTTCCGCCTCCCGCTCCTCTCCCCCGCGGAGGCCTCGCGCCTGTCGCTGCGGCCGAACGCCACGGCCCGCGGAGCAGCCATGGGCGCCTGCGCTCGCGCGGCGCGCTGGCAGGACGCGATGCCCCTCTGCCGAGCAAGAGGTTGAGTCGGGCATGTCCCTCGGCAGGAGGATATTCAAAAATATGGAACAAATAGTCTGGGGACGGTTTTGGGGGTGGGTATTTTTGTTTTGCGTGTGTGTGTGTGTTTTGATTTTTGGGGGACTCTGTTGATTTTTCGTCTAGAATCCGCCTGCAGGAGGACACGCCCTACCTAGGCATAAGGGAGGGTCGGAATCCAATGGGGGGGGAGGGCGCGAGGCGTCGCTCGGGTTCTGGTTCATCCCCGGCGATCTTCCTCACCGCTACGTATCTTCGCATACGCCGCCATGTGCGCGGTGAGCGTCGTGCCGCGGGGATCACAGGAGACGTTCTGTCTCAATCCCCTGGCGATGACGGGCTTGACCCGGGGGGGGAGTCTGGTAACGTCGCGATTCGTGCCAGCGCCGTCTGGGAATACGTATCATTGGCTAGTTCCAGACGGCGCCGGTGCGAGTCGCAGCGGTGCCAGGGGTGGGAGGGGGCAAGAGGTCGGGGCCGGTAACGGTCGTTGCCGTGAACTATTTACAACTGGTTCTCGTGCGCACGTTGTGCCGCCGTCTACATGCGTGGTAGCACGTGCGTGGTGTTTTGTTTGCATCCTGCACTTTCACCTGCATGCGCGAACGCTACAATGCCACTTGACCCTGGGACCCGAATATGCTACCAAGACACATCTGCAAGTTTGCGTTGGCATCCGGATTTAAGCCCGGTGCCACGGCCCTTATATTCTGCAGATGGAACAGGTGGGCGAGGAGGAGGAGGAGGAGGAGGAGAACAAACATGTAGATTCTAGGTCGGAGAGGGGTGGGGTCAACCCCCGGGATCCCCCGCCAGGACAGCCCTGCATGCGAGTCCCTGGGACCTCCCCTGGCGACCTCATCCGGGGCCCCGCCCTCCTGGAGAGGGGGGGGGGGTCACAACCCCCAGGACCTCCCCCCCTGAACCGTCCTCCAGGACTCCCGGGGACCTCCCCTGGCGACCTCTCTCCGGCCTCAGGCCCCCCCTTCAGCGCACCAACCCCTCCCGGAGGAGAAGGGATTAAAGGGGAGGGGCTTCCATTGGCGTCTGGGTCGGAGAGGGGGGGGCGAACAACCCCCACGACCCCCCGAGAACTCCCCCAGGATCTGGCCCAGGATCCCCCGCTGGGACCCATCCCCGCCCCAGGCTCCCCGGGACCCCTTCCCGAGACCCCACAGGACCCCGGGGGGGAGGGGGGGAAGGGGCTTCCCTTGATTTGATTACTACGTTGTTCGAGTTCCGTCTGGCTGGATCGCGTGAAAAGGAGGGCCCAGGAATCAAGGAACAAGGGGAGAGTGGAGACGACGACGACGTCAACGACGACGACGACGATGGAAGAACGTCTCACACACGCCGACAGGGTCGGCGGATTTTTTGATCTGGCTGTGCACGAGCCGGGGCCTGTCGCATTCACCAGTTCATTTACCGCACCATGGCACAGAAGCAGAACTCGTGCGCAATCAATTGGGAGATCGGCTGAAGCTAGCTTAAGGTCGCGACGAGTCGGCGTTTCTTTGATAGGTCTTATGATGGCGTCACCTGCGTGGCTTCCAGTGGACGACGGGTTTGGTCTGTTCCTTCTTGTGAGATGATCGTCGAATTGGCTACAGCATCGTGTGACAAGGTGATGGCGTTGGCCGCAAGCCGTGCGAGAGGTGTGGGTGGCTAGATTGACCCACACAGCATGGGAGTCGATGCAATTTCTGCAATACTGCTCGGAAGATTGCAGGGAACGCGGCTGATTGGAGGAGGACGCGCCCGACCCAAAGCTGGGACAACACGCTCCGTGGATCCATCCCCTGACCCCCGACGTCGTGATTTGTTCACAACGTCGACCCCCAGAGGTCTGGACCCCTTACCTGGGACCGGTTTCGCATCCTGAGTCGTTTCTTGACGCTCCCGCGGCCCGGTAAAGCCCCCCAGAGGCCGACAATAACCAAAAACCTCCCGTCGTTTTTTTTGTCACAGCGCGAGGAGGTTTGGGTCTGTCTCCGCTTCTTGCATCGCGAAAAGCGCGCCTTTTGTGCACGTTTGGGGACGGCCGCCTCTCGTCCTCGGGTTTTGGCCAAGAAGGCGGCCGCCACCGCGCCAGACTGCCAGCCACCATCGGCGAGGGGAGGTGTCTCGGCACGGGGCCGGAGGGAGGGCAGAGTTCCGAAGAAGAGAACATGCTACAAACATAAACTTTCGATGCTCCGCGCGGATTTCTTGGATCCGCGCTGGGCCCCCCAGGGGGCGCCTCCGGCGCCGCCCCTGGCGCGCTCCGCGCACCAGAGAGGGAGATCCGGCGCAGATCCAAGAAATCCGCGCGGAGCGCCAAAAGTTTATGTTTATGTTGTTTTTTTTGTTCTGAAGTTACGTTCTGAATCGTGGGAAGGTTTTTGGCTGGAAGGGCCCATCCCCTAGACCACCTACGCTCGGAGGGCCAGTTGGGCTTCAAGTCGCCACCGTAGACGAAGGCGTACAGGCGAGTGATCTCGGGATATGGGAGGAGCGAGCTCTAGGGGACGGAGCTGTGCTCGCAGGAGTTTGCAGTGAAGAGAGCCATCCCATCCTCGCCCCGCTCCGCTCCACGAAACAAGTAGGCCCGCTTGTTCCGCGCGGGCTCAGCCGGCGAGTCAAGAAGGCGGCTCCCAGGAGGCTACGAGGGCACAGTGCTGAACATGTTTTGTTTCGTCGTGCACTTCGCGTGGGCACCCCCGAAGCGACCAGCTTGTCACCGGTCTCCCGGCGATCCAGCCTCGTTGTCGCGACATGTCTGTCGGGCCTGTCGCCGCGGGGCGAGGGTGGAGAGTCGAGAGGCTTGGGGCATGGGCGCAGTCAGCCACGGTGTCCGATAGCGTTCGCGTGTGTCCTTCTGGCGGCACGTGCTGGTCACCGGCTCCCATGCCTCCTGACTTTTGATGGGGCTGGTTTCCACCACCACCACCAGATGTTGAAGGGGGGAAAGGAGGTGGATGATGAGGAGTAGGAGGAGGAGGAGGAGGAAGAGGAGGAGGAGGAGGAGGAGTAGGACCCCCTCCTTTTTCGCCTCTCACTTATGGTGGAAAATAAGCCCACCACTCGCCATGCAGCTGGCACAGGGGTTGAGAACAGCACTGCTCGGCTCTGGAGGGGTACCCTTCGATGGTCTTCGTGTCTGGGCTCTCCGCCTCAGAAGGTTTGTCTGTTTGGGGTATCTACACGGGGCCCTGTGCATGTTCGGCGAGCGGGCTCGTGTTCTCGATGTGCGGTCTCGTGGCCACGTCTAGACTGTACCTTGACGACCCCCGTTCAGCCCAACCGCTTTGACGAAAGAGCAACACACATACCCATAGGGGGGGCGGAGGGGGCTATGGATGCGTGTTGCTGAATGGCAATCCCGCTCGAACGGGAGCCTCCCCACGGGTCCGACAACCCGCACCCATACCCATAGCTTGCCAGTCCTCCTCCTCCTCCTCCTCCTCCTCCTCCCTCCGACCCTCTGTGGGTATGGGTTTGTGAATGTGTGTGCGTGTGCGTGTGCGTGTGCGTGTGCGTGTGCGTATGCGTATGTGTGTGTGTGTGCGTGTGTGTGTGTGTGTGTGAATGTGTGTGTGTGTGTGTGTGTGAATATGTGAGTTGTTCGTCCGTCACGTTTCCCGTCGCTCCCCAGAGCTCTGGGACCAGGCTCTTCAAAAGGCCCGTGAAGGAAGCCGCGCGCTGTGTGAGCTGCGGACTCCCTCGGCACCACCGAGTGCCAGAGGTGGCGGCCCGGAGCGGCCGCAAGAGGCTGCAGCTCCTGAGAGGTCGACCCATCGCCGCCACCCAAATCTACGAATGCTCTTCCCGGATAGCTCGCAGAGAGCTCAGAGGGCTTCAGATGAAGAAGCCGGAGCCGCAGCTTGGCTCCGGCGCTCGTTCTGGGTTCCGTCTTCCAGCGTCGCAGCGCCTGGCCTGAACTCGCAGAATTGGTCCCGAGAGGCCTTTTCTGAGCGTGTCCGAAGACGTGTGCCCAGAAGCTCTCCAGGAGGTCCTTCGGAAGCTCTCTCAAGGTCCTTTCAGGGTTTCTCGACAGGCTTTTCCACGTCTTTGGGGCGCCTTGCTATCCGGTTTTGGGACCCTACAAGTGTGTGTGCGTCGTCCCCAGAAAGGCGACGCACGCGCGCAGAGAAATTTTCTGGTGTATGCCCGTGTCGGGTGCTTTCTGGCCGTGCCGCTCGGAAAACGACATGCTGCAAGATGGCTGTACCAGATGTCTGGGTCAAACGCACGCCTCTGGTGAGTACGCATAGTACCAGTATGTCCTTGTGCGTCCTATGGCTCATTGGCGCCGGCGTTCTCCAATCAATAACCGCAAAAGTTGTTAACGCGCACCTGCAATGTCGCCCCCTGTAGCCCCATCAGGGTCGCCCCCGTCAATGCCGGAGCAGAGCGAACCGCGATCTGGGCTGGCGCGATTCGGAAGCCCTACGACAATCGTCACTGGAGAGGGGAAGCCGACATGTGTTTCGCATGCAATGTCACCCATACGGTGGGGGCGTTCGTCAATTAAGGAATGTGCCCAGGCGGCTGCAGACCCTGGAGGATTCTTTCGTATCTTATGAGGGCGGCGATGATATCCATGGCCGGTCCACGATTGGAGTTCCACCGGCCTCCAGACATTGGATTCTTTATCTAAGGGTTCCTTATCCAATGCCCCCACCGTCCGTAGCCATTTTGGCTCAAGCCATTTTGGCTCAAGGCCAGGCCCGCCCGCTTTCGGGCGCGCGGGACCCAGGATGGCGCGGGATGGCGCGGAGTGCGCGCCAAAGCGTTCGGCGGCCCAGCGTGCTGCGGGACGGCAGTGGGCTTAGTGGTCCGCCGACAACGCCGTGCGGCGGCTGACGGGCGAGTTGGGGAGGACTCGGGCCCGTCTGGAGGCCGCGGAGCAGGCCTTGGGCGCGGTCATCGGGGATGACGAGGTGGCCCATAGGCTGCAGGCGATGCTCCCCGCGCT